AACCATATATTAATTTTAAACCAACAAGCAAAGAATGATAATTATCTATGATTGACAGAGACATTGCCATTTTTGATTATGTCTAATATGTACAACTGTGTACCAGTTTATAATACATTAATTGGGAATATTAGTTTTTTTTCAATCTTACTGTTAGTTATTTAAGCTACTTAGATCTTAATTTGAAAAATTAAAAAAAATATTGGGACCCTGAATATGATTAAATCACAGTAAAGACTATGTCTCCTAAGATAAGAAAACTCTTTTGACTATATTCTAAGTGGTATAGTTTTTCTGTTACTGTGAATTTAATGGGAACATCTGAATCTCAAGTGAAAATATTTTATCATAATGAAAACATAATTTTTTGTCTAATTTCGTGTTGGGAAAAATTTTATAGAAGAATATGGTGGTGACATTTAAAACATTAGACAATTGCTAAACAAGATTTTAGCACAAGGTAACTCAGATAAAGAGAAATAGGAGTCAAATAAACTGATCCACCAAGAGCCTTGAGCTACAGCTCTCTGTGAATATCATCCTCATCTATTACTTTCAGGTACTGTAAATATTTTGGAAATACAAGGATTAATGTGGTCTTGTGAAACACAATATTCTCATACTTAGCTGATCCACAGTTGTTCTCCTCTTGTATTTTGTGACCTTTGAAGAGTTTAACAACCAGTGAAATTATCATGCCTAAGGTGTAGTATTTGAAGAAATAAATAAGCATGAGCACCTTATGATTTTAATGACACACAGTAGATACAGTTTAAATTCTAGTTAAAGACTATTCTTTATGTGCCATTTCTTAAAACTAATCTGTAGCCGGATTTATTTACTTCTTACTTATTTGTCATTTAAAATGTAACTATATCTTTTTATGTATTTAGCATATTCAATGCTCATTTTCATTATATTTTACATTTTCTTATTTTATTAGAATGTTACATGATTTCATCTTACCTTAGCTGATTCAGATGAAACTTATGATGATGATGGAGGTAATTCAAAATTGATAAATTCTTCTTTATGTAGATACTCTCAAACAAAAAGTTTTCAGTTCCTTGATGAGAACATGAAGAATGTATAGAAGCCTGGTAATAGGGAAAAATGAAAATTATATCCAGTTTAAAACACCTTTAATGCTTCAGCTATTAACTGAAATCCTACCTAAAATTATTCCCCAAAAAAAGTAAAAGTGATAATGCATTTTATACCAACAAAATTATCCTTTACTCCACATAAAAATGCCTTAGTACGAAATGATACAATCTGTAAGTAGAGCATAATCAACAGTTTTTGACTATCTAAAAATTCAGATGGTCCATGTCATTCTCTGACTATCAGGCCTGAGTGAAGAATTGGATACCTCCAGGCTTTGTCAGAAAGAATCTTCCCTCTGATATTTGCTTTTCCTGTTATACTTTTGTAGAGAAATATAAAATAAAGCAGATTTTCAAAAACAACTAAAGCAATTCTCTCCAAATATATTGGAAAATTTGACAATTTGAACTTTCTATAGTTTTTTATAGGAAGTGACCATCGTTTAATGATGTTCATCAAACTGTCAGGAATGAATATATCATAAAACAGATGCTGGGTGATAATGACTCACAGCTGTAACCCTAGTGACTCAGAAGGCAGAGATAGGAGGATGCAGGTTTGAAGCCAGGTTGGGCAGGATGTCTGTGAGACTCCTTATCTCCAATTCACCACCAAAAACAAAGAAGAAGAGCTGGGTTCAAGTGGTAGGATTTTAGCGTTCAGAAAAAATTGAGACATCACCCCAGGTCCTGAGGTGAAGCCCCAAGATTGACACAAAACAAAATAAAGTAAGGAAAAATAAAGATTAAGAGTTTGAGTACCTTAATTAGGTAAAAATATTGGTTACATTGTATGGGAAGTCAGAATAAGAATAAACAGAATTTTGACATACTTAAAATAGTAGCAGACATGTTAAGCAATAAGAATTGATACTTTTTACTTGTAACTGCAGAGATGGTTCTAAAAAGAGCCAGATATCTAGTTAAGCATCATTGCAAGGTTTGGAAAGCTGCAATGATTCATATTCCCAAGGCATTTTTAAGAAACTCTGGCCAAATGTTGCCTAGACACTGACCATGGAAACTTCCCCAAGAGTCTCTGAGAAACTATACTTTCTACATTTAGATTAGCCTACTTTTGGCACTGTTTCTCTTCAGGCTCTAATTAGATAACCAGACAGTTCAATTCAGGAACTGAGTGCTCTCTCTTTCATCATTCTGAAAAAATGGAAGGAACTAATGCAGTTTAAAACTACTAGGTTTGGCCTCATGATTCTGACATGGTAAATGTCTAAGAGAATCAAAGGTACATATTAACTGTGTATTACTTTTAAACAAGCATGTAGACAGACACTTAGCATCTGTCACCTTCAAGATCTAAATTGTACCAAGTGTCTTGATAGCAGAGCAAACCTGGAGTTGATGGTTGTGGAATGATAAACAAGGAGGAGGAATCAGAGAATGCTAAACATCATATACCCTTACACTGTATAGTTGAAATCATATATACACCATGTGTACAAAATACTTGGACCATGTTAATATGTCTTTACACTTTCTTATTGTTTTCTCCATTTCACTGGAAATCCTATCTATGAAAGCCCCTGTTTTATACTCCTTTTATTCATTTTCTGAAGACTAAATTCTGCATATGAGAGAGAAAAGGTAATATTTGTCTTTCTCATTTGGTGTATTTACTTGACAAGGTCATATCCGATGCCATCTTTTTTTTCCTATAAATCTTGCAGTTTCATACTTCTGTACAGCTGATAATCTTCATTATATACATGCCTCTTTTTTCATTCTTTGCTAGTTTTTTCCTAAGCTGATTCCATACTTAGGCTCCTGTGACCAATCCTGCTATATATATGGGTATGGAAGTATGTCAATTAATACTGATTTATATTCTTTAAGATTTATATATAGGAGTGGAAAAGCAAGATCACGAGGTAATTACACCTATTTTTAGTTTTTGAGAAACCTCCATACTGGTTTCCACAGTGGCTGCAGTAATTTACATTCACACCAACAGAGTATGAGGGTCTCTGATCTTCCATTCTCCTCAGCATTGATTGGTGTTTGTTTGCTTGATATCAGCCATTCTGATTGCAGTGAGATAGAATTTCATTGATGTTTTCATTTGCATTGTTTTATGGTTAAGAATCTTGCACATTTCTTCATGTATTTATTAAGCATTTTGTATTTTATCTTACAGAAATGTATCTTCAACTTCTTTATACCTTTCTTAACTACAGTCTTTGTTAATATGAGTTTAATTATTGAAGCTTTTTATTCATTGTAGATAGTATTTTTAAAGCAAATGCAAGTAAATAGCTATGGTAAATTGTATTGGTCTATAGAAAGGAAAAAGTACAGAAAACCAAGCAATGTTATTAAGAAATAAGAATGGGGCCAGGGACTGATGACTCTCTCCTGTAATACTAGCTACTCAGGAGGCTAAGATTTGAAGATTGTGGTTCAAAAGCAACCCAGGTGGGAAAGTCCATGAAACTCTTATCAGTAATAAACCACTTTTAAAAAAAACCCAAAGTGGATCTCTGGCTCAAGTGGAGTTAATGGTTGAGCAAAATAAGATCAGGGTCAGTGCCCAGGACCTGAGCTCAACACCCAGGACTGGTAGCAAATAATAAATAAGTGAATCAATGAATGAATAAATAATGAATAAATAAGACAGGGATCTTTGATAGGATTTCCTTTGATAACCAATAGATGAGGATAACAGAAAAGAAATTCTCAATGTCTCGAATTGTAAAAACCATCATGAGATATTTTCCCACACCTGTTAGAGTAACTACTGACATAAAGATGAAGAATAACAATATTGTTGAGAATGTGAAAGCAGGAAGCCATTGTATCCCACTGATAAGAGGTAAGTTAGCAGATTTATAGAAAATTTCAAAACACTAAAGGAAGATTTCCACATGACCCAACAATCTTACTTTTTGGTATGTGACTAAATGACTTGAAAAACAAAA